CATCCCTGTCTTCCAGCTCAGGGGGCTAATCAACACATTACTTCTGGGAATCCTTTCATCCTGACATCTTAACTCCCATTATTGATGATACAAAACAGTGGTTGGAACACAGACATCCCAAAACATTGTGCACAGCAGTCTTGAAAAACTTGAACATTTGGAGGGTAGGGGCAATGAGAATGACTATCAACCCATGATATCGTCAAGTTGAGTAGTGTTTACCTCTATGAGCTGAGTACTCCTAGCACAATAAACCATCTGCTGTGTGAAGAGTAGGTCTAAAAAGAGTGATAGATTTACTTACTCTTGCCCCATCGTTGCCAGCTGTACCTTCAGCTCCTTTCTCACCTATGCCGCCCTATGGAAAATACCCCGAAAGTCTCAGTTATGACACTGAATCCTGAGTAGTTCATACCCTGGAATAATTAATTAAGAGACAGGTGATTCTACTCAGGACAACAGAAATAAATAGACTTACTCTATCACCCTTGGGGCCAGGCGTTCCAGCGATCCCTCTTTCTCCAGGCATACCTTGAAGACCAGGTGGGCCAGGATCACCAGGCGTCCCACTAGGGCCTGGGCTTCCCTGAAGCGAATAAAGAAGAAGTTGTTGCTATTCATCTGAGAAGTATCTTTGTCTCTAGGCTGCAGAACACACTGTGCCTGTGTTGAAGTCTCTGGGGTACAGTTTTAAGTAATAATTTTCTCTTAAATTTGGACTTTATTCATGTCCAAATACTTTTCTTTTCCCATTGTGTTACTCGGGAAGTTCAGTTGTAACACCGTAGTCCTTCCGAATACATTAGTGCATTATTCAGTGCATATTGGGGATGAGAACAGGCAAACAAAGAAGCTTGAGCATCTTTCTACCTTGACCTTGATGCCACTGGGTTTATTACACAAAGTAGCTACAGGTAGAAGTTACCAGGGGCTGAGATGCTTTGTTTATTTATTCTTTGCTTCTCAGAGCTCATGTCTATTACAGGTCCCACATTACTAGAGGCGCTCCCTACTTGGCATGACCTTCCTAGACCTAATTAAATCAATTGCAGGTGAAGGAAAGGCATGCAGTTTTCAGCATTTTCTTTTAAACACTCAACCCTGCCAAGTGCCTTTGTGTAAACTGACATGGCTCTTAAAGCATTGCTAGAGGGTTTTCTGCAGTTCAGAAATGGCTTTGCCCAGTTCCACTGAGAAACACAAAAAAATTTTAAACTTCAGACCTATATAAATTAATACAAAACGTGATTTCTCAACATTTAAGAATCCTGCAAGTTATTAATATTGTTATACTGGAATAACTTATATGTCCTCCTAGAACCCTTACATAAACAAGATAACTTTCATGAAAATATACCCCTTTTATAATAAAAAAGCTGTCTCTTATGTTCGTGCAAATGAGCAGAATTATGCATTACACCACCGCAGCAACACAAAAGTCCATTCAGCTTACCTTTGGACCATCAGGACCATGACCTCCAGCCATACCCTTTTCACCCTGGAGTCCTGATGCACCTGGTTCTCCCCTTTCCCCTGGATTGCCACGTTCTCCCTACAAAATGGAAAATTATTACTTATTTAGAAGTCAGGGTACAGTTCTGGCAGACAAAATCCTAAATACACCGGAAGTGCAGCACTGCTATTTGAACAAAGAGCCTGTGAACAAATTTTAGGAGAACTGATCAAATAAAAAACATCTTTATGCTTTTATTGTTAAAGGTAGGGGAAATAGCATGTTGCTCAGCAAACTAAAAACTGACATTTCACAGCTGTAAACCAAATCATTTAGCAGCTAGCACTCAACACCACTTCACGAGCTACGAAACCATTAAAGGTGGTAAGTTTTACAGAAACCACCTTAAAACATATCCATGTTTACAACCGTTTTATTGGTGGGAAAAAAGGCAAATATTCACTTTAGCTGTTAAAGTCCACATTATATATCAACTTTCAACCTCAGAGAACTGCTATGAATGTTTAAGCTCTCAAAGAAAATACTTACCCTAGGGCCCAACGGACCAACAGCTCCAGGATCTCCGGGCACACCCTAAGCAGAACAGAACTCACTATTAGAACGAAAGCATTATTCATAGTCTTATAGTTATGGAAATTAGAGATAAACATTTACATTTCCAAAGTACTGTGAATGTAGATGGCTAGTTCTGAATATTATCTTGTCCATGACAAGAGGAGATAGTCCAACTCAGCCCAAGAAGATGGTAATTATTTTATCCAAAAGCAGTTCTCAAACAGCTTGCAGACTACATCAGCACATATTTTGGAACAGAGTGGGAAATTAAATTACAAAGAGAAGAAAAGGTAAAACTACTTTATGAAGTGAATTCTTGTTAAATTACACAGAAATTACCTGATCACCTGGCTTTCCTCCCTCACCTGGAGGACCGGGTGGCCCAGGCAAGCCCTGTAAAAAGGTAAATAAAATGGTCATTAACATGATAGAAAGTTTTAACTTTTTCAAAATTAACTGTCTAATTTTTTAACAGATTTAACTAAGACACCAAGAATATGAATGTAGTGTTATACTCAGTACAAAAGTATGCCCTCAGAAATCCCCAAGCGAAATAGTTACATGAATATCGCACCAAAGTGTTCTCTCCCCTCTAAATTAAATGGCAGCCATTCTTTAACATTTGTAGGACATATGCATATCAGCCCTAAAAATAAAGTTCTTTCTAAACACAGATTGACTTGACTTAATTAATACTTCCTTATCAAAACAATTATTTTGCTCCATATTTGGAACATCTTTGGAAAATGTCCAAGTTAAAACTGAAAAACAACAAAGGTTTTCTCAAGGGATACAGAGCTGGTATTTAAGCCTTTGCCAGTTCAGTTTAGTGCACAGCTGATCTGAAAGCTAAGTATCACTAATTATTCTGAACATCATCGCCTTAGTTCTGAAGCTGTGTTTTGTTATACATCACTTGATTGATTTTCTCCAATTTAAGCTGATAAAGACATGGCTGTTTATTTTTTCTTTAAAAAAAATGAATGCACATACCTGAAACCCTGTAGGACCTGGAGGGCCTTGTTCTCCTCTTTCTCCTGCCAGACCCTACACAAAAGAAAGCAACAAGTGTACAGTAGAGGAACATAGGCAGGCTCCACAATTTTTCTTCTCTCTGAATATGTATATTTTCAACTATGTATTTGTTTAGTATACATTTTTACTTACCCCAGGCCAAGATATACCCTATCCAAAAGATGTAATAAGATGTATCTTATTTCTTTAAGATACGGCCCCAAAAATTCTGTGTTGACAGGAAAACACTCAGTTCCATTGAAACCAAGGAAGCTAGGAAAATGAACTATGAGAAAATGTTGCTCCTTGCACTATTTTTTGTAATGGTCAGTAAAAGGAATTAGACTACTAAAATATATATTTTTTCAATACAAAGCTTTCAATTTTTCTAGGAAAATTTTTTCTTTAAATGTTTTTGGGATTTTTTTGTTTGGAATCAACAAGCATGAAGATAGATAAAAATAGAAGCAGAAAGAGTAATGAATGGATGGAGTGACTGGCAAGCAGGCAAAATGGTAAAAAGTTGACTTACTGGTGGGCCAACAGGACCGGAAGGACCAACTTCACCATCTTTACCAGGGGCTCCCTAAATTAAAACGACATAGGAAGAAGTTTTGTATAGTGAACGTATATAAGAGAAAAGCGTAATTTTCTGTAATCACTGCAAATAACAGTCATACTCACTCTCTGTCCTGGGACACCTGCGTTGCCTGCTTCTCCAGGTTTTCCAGGATCACCCTAATTTGCAGAAATAAAAATGACTATTTTTAGATACTGCTTTCATCCATTAAAATATATGCAAATTTTTAAAGTTAAACAGATACTGGGTACCAGGTGCCATACTCACACTGCTACCCTTTGGCCCAGGAAGGCCCATGCTGCCTGGCTGGCCTCTGATTCCTATTGAACCTGCTGGACCTGGACGTCCATCTTCTCCAGGAGCACCCTACAGAGATAAAGCATTTTCCACATTAAATTATAAATATATTTATTCATATGAACCTATTTACCCCTGGAAAATGTTTGTATGTATAAAAAAATGACATTAACCTGGTTTGGTGCTACAGTTATCAGTCAAAATGTCTTTAAAGCAGACATAGCTTTAGCCATATTGTTGATTTAACCAAATACTATGCAATTATTATCATTGAGCCATTATGTACAAATACTTTATTGTTTCCTTAAAGAGACAGTTAGAAAGGGTATTTAGTTCAAAATGGCTTAAAAATATTGCAGCGGCTGCTAAACAACAGACACTGCTACACAGACAAAACTAAAGGAACATTATCTGCACTAATTTTGGAGTCGGGAATCTAAAGTGAACAGTTAAGAGATAAGATAAACATTCAGAAATCAAGAAAACTCAAGCTAATAAAAGTAATTTCTCTGAGCTGGGACCTTCAAATGACTGTGGCATTAACTGAAAGGACTGATTTTTGTGTCACTTACCAAGGGGCCGAGTTTTCCTTCAGGGCCTTGAACACCTGGATTTCCTGTCAAGCCCTAAAAGCGGGAATAATATTAAGGTTGTGCATATAATTCCAGAACAATAGAGAAATGTAAATAAATCCAAAAGATATGCTCAGTTACTACCATAGTACAAACTTCTCTGTATCAAAGGTCTTCATCCTCGTCTCCACCTTACAGCTTCATCCCCCACTGTCTTTGATATTCCCTTTTCCTATTCTCCCTTTTCTTGCTGTTACACCTCTTGAGCTTCTCACAGGCTCATCTTTATTTCTGCCAACGTTACCCAGTGATCTGTATCACATCTTATACTTGCTGCTCCCTTTCTCTCCTTTTGTGATATTCCAAATTCTCCTCAAACACTTTTCCTGAAAAAAATCTCTAGATGACATGCACCACTCAACAATGTAAGTTATCAATCACCAATTTAATGAAGGTGGGCCTTCAATTAATTTGGCCTTCAGTTCATGTTATCTGTGGCAACTATGTGCTTGACAAACACACTTCCTTCAGTTGCATTAGCTGGTCTCAATCAGGGCTATTTCTCCTTTTTCGAAGACAAATGGAACCTGTGTTCCTTACAT